GGAGGATTTCAAGTTCAAAGCCAGTCTGGGGTACTTAGTGAGACCCTGTCTCAATAAAACAACAAAAAGGGCCCAAGACCAAGGAATGTGGGTGGCCTCCAGAAGATAGAAAAGGGAAAAAAACAAACAAACTTGATTGTTCCCAAGAATCTTAAGAAAGAAACACAGTCCCACCTATACCTTGATTTTAGGTATAGTGAGATCCATTTGGATCTTCTGATCTCAAGAAGTATAATATAATAGTGTTTTGGGTTTGTTTGTTTTTGTTTAGCAGTTCTGGGGATTGGACTCAGGGTCTCATGCTTGCTACACAGGCACTATACCTTTTTGTGTTGGGTATTTTCTTTTCTTTTTCTTTCCTCTTCTTATTTTTTTGTTTGTTTGTTTGTTTGTGGTATTGGGGCTTGAACTCAGGGCCTTCACCTTGAGCCACTCCACCAGATGGGTTTTTAGAGATAGGGTCTTGCAAACTATTTGCCCAGGCTGGCTTTCTCCTGATATCTGCCTCCTGAGTAGCTAGGATTACAGGTGTGAGTCACCTGTGCCCAGCTTGTGTTAGGTATTTCAAGATAGGGTCTCACAAACTATTTGCCCAGGCAGGCTTCAAACAATGATCCTCCTGATCTCTGCCTCTCTCGAGTAGCTAGGATTATAGGCATGAGCCGCTGGAGTCTAGCTTAAATTAGTTTAAAAAAAAAAAGAAATGGCATAACAAGTGCAAAAGCATTCTAAATTTGTGTATAAACAATTATCATTATGAATCTTTTATGAAAATGAGTAGCATAGAATTATTATTTTATTCACTCATTAATTCAAAAAGCACTTATTGAGTCCCTACTATGTCAAGGTCTAAGTTAGATACTGCAGAGAGTAAAGTTATGAATTTATAGTAAAATAACAACCGTTGCCGTGTTTTAAGTTTTAGCTGACTTGGGCCTTTTTTGGGAAATATAAGTCAGGTGAAGTACAAACATACTTGTGGATGGGGAGATATGTTTTTGTTTATTGATAACATTTTTAATCTAGATTAAGGGTTTAGACCCTTAATCCTACACCCAACTATATACTTGGCTATAATTGGGTAATTTATTCTCATACCTCAAAAGTACAAAACTGGTTGGGGACGTGCCTCAAGTGGTACAACTCCTGCCTGGCAAGCACAAGGCCCTGAGATCAAACCCCAGTACCACCAAAAAACCAACAAGTACAATACTGAACTTTTGGTCTCACTCCCCAAATCTCTTCCCTCCTTCATTGGTCTTCTCCATCTCAGTAAATAGTCTACCACCCAATTCACTAGTTCAAGCCAGTAATTTAGGCATAATCTTTCTTTCTCTTACCTTCTACATACTTCCGATAGGCCCATCAATAACAATCTCCAGTCACCACCCTATTCTAAGCCATCACCAGCTCTTGCTATACTACAAAATAGCTTCCTGACTGTTCTACCTGCTTCTACTCTTGCCCCTCTCCAACACAATCTCTACACAACAGTGATGTTTGTAAAACTTCAAATGTCACTTTCCTACATATCTATACTTGTGGCCCATTTTACTTAGAGTAAAACTCAAATTCTGCCATGGCCTATGAAGTCCTACATGACTTGAATCCTGCCATCTCTCATCCTTCTCTATTATTTATGCTCACAGTGATCCGGCCACACTGGACTTTCAGTTTCTAAAACACCACAAGCTCTTCCCAACCCTGACAGACTGTGTATACAGCTTCCTTTGCCCTGAACACTCTTCCCCAGTTCTTTGCAAAGCTAGCTCCTTCTCATCCTTTTTTATGTCTCAGCTAAAATACATTGATTCTCCCATAATTCTACATAGCTGGAAAATGGGGCAACAATCTGGTTAAAGCTGTGAATGGGGAGTTCCTAAAGAATCTGCCTCAAAGCTGCATTTGCATAGCAAGCACACTACCTTTACTTAGATTAAGTACAGATCAATAAAAAGTCAATGTTTTCGGCAGGGCGCCAGTGATTCACGCCTGTAACCCTAGTTACTCAGGACGCAGAGATCAGGAGGATCGAGGTTTAAAGGCAGCCCAAGCAAAATAGTTTGCAAGACCCTATCTCAAGAAAACCCTTCAAAAAAAAGTGCTGGTGGAGTGGCTCATGGTGTAGGCCTTGAGTTCAAACCCCAGTACCACAAAAAAAAGTCAATGTTTTCTAAGATACATTTATTCCTATTTTATATAAGATTGAGAAAACATCATCTATCCATAAAAATATAATTTGGTGTACCTTGAGAGATGTGGCAAGTGATTCAAAGAAGATGGAGAGATTGGCTAGTTCTTTTTTGTTGTTGTTGTTGATAAGGATCTATTTGCGTGTTTTAAGTAGAGGCATGATGTGGTCCAATTACATGATTGGATGAAGAGACACTAAAGACAAAGACCAGTAAAAATGTTATTATTACAACCAATATTTATTGAGCATTTGGTGTGTGACAGGTACTATTCTAAGGGTTTTCCACTTTATGTTTTGTTTGGTTCTTTTTCTCTCAGTACTGGTGATTGAACCAGTCACCTGTATGTTAGGCACATGCTCTACCATGTGAGACATTGCCCCAGACCTTTTCTCTGTATTTTTTGTTTGTTTTTGAGACAGGGTCTGTTTGCCAGGGCTGACTGAGAACTTACAATCCTGCTCCCTCTGTCTCTCAAGTAGCTGGGATTACAGGCATATAGCACCACACCTGGCTTGTTTCATGTATATGAATTCATTTTAGTTCTCACAACACTCAATGCATTATCATCCACATTTTAAAGATGAGGAAACAAAGACACAGAGAGATTATTCGAATTATTCAAGAATTACCAAAATAGTTAAGTGACAGAACTAAGATTCAAACCCAGAGAATCCAGCTTCAAAATTTAAGCTCTTCATCAATATGCTATAATGTTCCCTTTTTCTATAAGATTGCTGCAGTAAAGCATGGCTGAAATTAATACAATGGCAATAATAATGGAAAAGTGGGAAGCTATTTGAGAGAGATTCAGGAAGTAAAAGCAATGATGTGGGGGAACAACCAATGTAAGGAAGAGGAAAATCTAAGATGACTCTCAGACATCTGACTTGACTGAGTAGTTGATTGGCCAATCACAGAAATGGGAAATACAGGAAAACTCTAGTGAAAGAGATAGCAGATCACCTCATGCTTGTGCCTGTGAGGCAAAAAGAATAGCCAGGCCTGGTACAGTGACTCACATCTATAATCCTGGCTACTTGGGAGGTTGATATCAGGAGGATTGCAGTTTAAGGCCAATTCAGGCAAACAGTTCAGGAGACTCCCATTTCCAAAATAACCAGAGTAAAATGGATGTATTATGATTGTAAAAAATAATAAATAAATAAATAAATAAATAACCAGAGTAAAATGGACTGGGGTTGTGGCTTAAATAGTAGAGCACCTGCTTTGTAAGCATGAAGCTTTGAGTCAAAACCAGTCCCACCTCCTCAAAAAAATAAAAAAGAATATCCAGTAGGCAATCAGAGATACCAGTTTGGAATTCAAGAAAAAGACTTAGCCCAGAAGTGTAGATTTAATGGTGTTAAAGGTAATTCTGCTTAGAAAGAGCATGGGGAATAAACAAAGGGCTGAGAGCAGAATTCTAGGAGACAGCATCATTTAGGGAGTAAGTACATTGTAAGCATCCAGGAAAGAAGACAAAGGAAAATGGTCATAAAGCCAACATCTCAGGAGTGAGTGGCCATGGAACCCCAGGATGGGAGTTTCAGCAATGCCAAAATTGTCTGCAATTCAACTGCAAAGGAACCACTATGAAGTCATAGGATATATTTGTGTTGTTCAGCAGTTTTTGTCCAATGCCTAGAGGCCTGGCCTGGAGTAGGTCAAAACGTTTCCTAAATGAATAAAAAAAAAATCTGTCAAATACCACACACAAAATTTTGGGAAGACAAAGACTAAGAAGTATCCACTTAACTATTTTGGGTGTCACCGGTCATCAAATGACAAGAGTGGGTTTTGCGCATTACGTTTTTCTTTCTTTTTTGGCAGTACTAGGGTTGGAACTCAAGGTCTCGCACTTGATAGACAGGTGCTTTACCACTTGAGCTACTCCACCAGCCTTGTTTATTTTCCAGATAGGGTCTTGTGAACTACTTGCCCAGGGCTGGCTTCAAATCGCTATCTTCCTGATCTCTGGCTCCGGAGTAGCTAGGATTACAGGCGATTACAGGCAATGGCCATCGGTACCCAGCTGTGCATTACTTCTCTACTTTTTAAAGAAATTCCATCCCCAGCACTGCAAAAAAAGAAATAAAAAGGGGGTGGGGGGAGAAAAACACTTAAAATTTTATGGGAAGCCGGTGGAGCATGCCCATTATCCCAGCGCTCAGGAGGCTGAGGCAAGAGGATTACGTGTTGGAAGAAAGCCTGGGTTACAGTGATACCCTGTTTCAAAAAATAATAAAGTTTACGGGAGGTGAGGAAGTGCAGCCATTGACACTTCCATTCTTGGATGACATTTTGTTACATAGAAAGAGGAACAGAGTGCAACCAGGGACACAGTATCAAAAGGGATTTTTTCTTAAGGTGGGAGGAAACTTGCTTTGTTCACCGTGGAGTCGCTGGGCACAACGCTAGCCACTTCGCGACGGCTCAATAAAGCCTTGGGCTAGCCAGTGAAAGGCTTGTGTGACGCTCTCGAACACGGACCAGCGCTGGAGTCCTTGCTTTTAGATCAGGCAAAAACAACGAAGGCTCAGACTCTGTCCGTGACAGCACAGCATCCGCGCCCTCCGCTCACCCACCCTGGGCCGCGCGCAAACCGGCGGACCGCGGTCAACGCGCCACACAGTTGCGACGTAGATGGGGAAAGCAAAGCCCCTCCCGCTGATAGGCCTTTCATCTCCGGCCACTCTCTTTCCGCAGGGCCCTCCGGAGGTGACTCCTGTGTCCCACACGCTTCTCACGGAGCGGAAATGACGTGTCTTGTCGCGCACGATTGCGGAAGCAGAAATTGCTTTGCGGCCGGCACAAAAATTGCTTTCCTTTAGGCTTCCGCCCTTTGCCTGCCCATGTGTGAGAAGCAGGTTGCTGCGATGAACGGGACTCCGGAGGGGTAAGGGATAAAAGGGCGTGGGGATTCAGAGGCTTTTGAGGAGCCGACTTCCCCGGCTTTTAGGAAGTGGAAGCCGCTCTAGCAAACAGCAGTCATTCCCCTTCCAAGACCTTGCCACTAATTATTTTCTCTGCGATCCATCTTTTAAAGATGCTTTAATTTATTTTAATTCGCTCCCACAGCTCCTCATCTCGTTAGCTGCATCCCTGTGGGTCCCGATGCAGGCCTCGCTAAGTTAATATGTTGCATTTTCCTCATCACGTGATCCTTTTTTCTGCCTGTGCGGGGACCGGCTTTAACCATCTGCGCTAGCGGTGCGCGAGTTGTATTGGAATCAATCCACCTCATTTTCATTCCTCTGACGTTTCCTGTATTCCCCCCTCCACGATAGGGAAACAGAATGTAGTAGTCCGTTTGGTAATGTTTGCCTTGCAAATACCTGTATATACTGTCAGGTACTAGTAAAATCGAAATTCCTTTCCGGGTCCCAGTCTCCTTAGTTAAGCACGTACTTTGCCAAGCAAGCCCGAGGGAAAATGGTTTACTCTGCTGGTTTCTACCAATCCCTTATTTCCCCATCTCTGGGAACCAATGATCAAATGACACTTTTTGGGTAGGTTGGACCTATCAAAGTATCTAAAGGGTAGAAGATGCAAAAATATTAATCGCGATGCCTCGAAGGCTAGCAACAGCGTCTTCTACCTTATCTAGGGTCTTTTTCAGCTTCCTACAGGTCAATGGAATATGCATAACTAATCACTGAAGAGTGTAAGTGTATTTTTCTATGGTTATCACCAATTACTTCATACCTTGGAGGTGATGCCTGACTTCTAAAATTAGGGTCCTGAAAAATTCGCTAAGGCATTCACACTTGCCAAGGGATAGGACTATCCTGCGCTGAGAACTGAAGGTACTGTGTTTTAGAGATTGTTTTGCTTAGGTTATTTCACATGCTAATAACGTTTTCACCTTTCTTTAAACAGCCATCTGGCTTTGAGCCAGCAGGAAAAACTAGTGGATTTGACAAACAACCACCCCTTGAGTACCAGTGAAGATGAGGTGGGTGACAGCTGCTAAACTGCCCTCAAAATTGTGGTAGATAGCATGTTCCTGGAAAGGAAAGAATTGGCAACTTTATATATATTTGTTCAGGCCTCTCAAACAAATTACATTTATTTAGTGTTTCATGTAAAAGATACTGTATTAAGTGCCTTAGGAATTGGAAGACTATGTTATAATCACTGTCTTCAAGTTGCTTAAGTATAGTGTATAAGACCAGAACACATGGTCCTCATTTGTGACTTCCCAAATCTGGATTTCTGTAATTTATCTGACTGAGATATACATAATATATTTCTAGCTGGATCTCCAACAGATGCTATCAGAATTTTAAATCTATTCCCCTAGAAAAACTAATTCAATTTTTTTCTGAGGGGGGGCAGCTTGCACAGAGCATGTATTTTATAATAAGGAGAAGCTGGGCATGGTGATACATGCCTGCAATCCCTGTCTCAAAAAGGAGTTTTTCTGTTGGCTTTTTTTTTCTGGTGGATGTTGTTTTCTCCTTAGGAAAAGCCACCTTGGTACTAATGGCTATACCTTATACTATGTGTCAGGGTTTCTGTGTCAGACCACACTATCCTATACAGAAACATTGTTCTAAGCCCTTTCCAAAACAAGTTAGGACAGAGGCATAACATTAGCTCCCAAGTTACAAATGATCTATGTTCTTTATAATGAAGGAGTTTGGATTTTGAAGGAACTCTTTTAGCGAAGGTTAGAATGCTTACATCTAATTCCCCAGTTCTCCACTGACCAGAAGAACCAGAAATTTTACATGGACTTCATTTTCCTAGTTTTCTTTTCCCTCCTCTCACCATTCTGATGATTTTTTTTTCTGTCTTAGGGGGACAGTGATGGAGAGAGAAAGCATCAAAAGCTTCTGGAATCAATCAGTTCCCTTAATGGAAAGAATAGGTAACATTCCCATCAGTCTGAACAGGTTATAACTAACTGATTCCCTGAGACTTCTCTGCAGCTAACATTTATCCAGTGCCTAATGTAAAGATCCTTGTTAGGATTATATGATTGATGTTAGCTATTATCTTTATTGTTAATTACTGTATTAAGCTTTCACATATTAGAATCCTCATTTAATCCTCATAGTCTTTTAAAGCATTGAGTGGACATTACCCTTTAGAGAAGTTAATTGGATTACCCCCAAGGTCACCCAGCTCATAAGTGGCAGATCTAGGATTCAAATCCAGCTGTGTTTGACTCCAAGTCCAAAGTTTTTTCCATTATGTCTACCTGGTGTTTCTTGATGGTCTGATTCTGCATAAAGAAATTAGATGTAGGTTCAACTACCGAGTCCATCTTAGGAACAGATTTTTTGGTTGCTTTGTGACAAAACTTCACTCTAGAAGAAAAATAGGTACTTTCATAAAAAATATAAAATATTTTTTAAATACCTGAAGTATTGGACTGGGGATGTAGCTCAGTTGTAGAGCACCTGCCTAGCATGCAAAATGCCCTGAGTCCATCTCCAGCACTGCAAAAAGTAGTATTTGTTCTCTCCCCTCCATCCACCAAAACCTTCAGTGTGTCCACTTCTGTTATATTATTTTTCCTGATTCAGGTGGAAATTGGCTGAGCGATCTGAAGCTAGTTTGAAGGTGTCAGAGTTCAACGTCAGTTCTGAAGGTCAGTCTAATAAAGATCTGTGCATAGAGCCAAACTCTGGTGGCTTACCTGTAATCCTAGTTACTTGGGAGGCTGAGATTGGAAGGATCTAAGTTTGAGGCCAGCCCAGGCAAATAGTGGCTCAAGTGGTAGACCACCTGTTTTGCATTAGTTCCAGAAACATATATGTGTGTGTGTATGTGTGTGGGGGGGGAGCTTGTGTGAGTAAGGTACCCTACCATAAATGCTTTCCTGTGGGATGGTAAGATACCCTTGAGTTTCTTCTGTTTCTAGAAGAAAGCCTAGAAGGCTAAGGTTCTCCAATGGAACTTGATGAGTCACTTAAGGAATGAAGGGACATGAATGGAGATAGCTAGCTGCCTCCTCCTAGCTTGCTCATATTTCATAGCTCTTTAATATTCACTTTTTCATAACACTTTCAGTTAGGACAGGTAGATATTCTCTTCAGCTGGAATTCATAGAAGTCCTTACATACTCAAGGGCCTTCACCTGGTACAGTGTTTCTTTATAGCTTCCCTGAGGAGCCTTGTTATACATTTTTTTAACAGCACTGCCTTCCCCTTCAGGAAATCAATAGCTAAAGAATAAGATTTTGTGGAACACAGATTGAACCTTGGAGGCGCACAAAACTTTGTAGTATCTAAATTGATTTTTTTTCCCTCACATACCTCCAACAGCCGGTTTTTACTGCTAGATGAGAGATAAAGGGCCAATATTACCCCTTTTGAAAACACATAATCTAGTAAATGGCAGGGTTAGAATTTTAACCTGATACTGAATATAGATACCAAAATTTTTTCTTGATATTCATAACTTAGTTTGAGTGAGTTTTGTGTTTGTAGTAAACCTCCGAGAGCAGGTAACAATGTATTCCAAGCTGATTCATTCAGCAGCTGTTTTGTTTTTGTTTTTGTTTTTCTTCTCCTTCTATAAAGTATCAGTGTAACAGGCACTGTTCTAGACACTAAGGCTACAGTGAAAAATAAGATAATCACAGTGGGCCATACATTCCAGTTGGGGAGGGGAGGGAATATGAGAATTAAAACACTGATGCAGACGGGGTGGGGCATGACTCAAGTGATAGAGTGGCTCAAATGGTAGAGTGCCTGGCTAGCAAGCAAGAGGCTCTGAGTTCAAGCCCCAGTAACACCCAAAAAAAAAACTAGAATGATACAATACAGTGGCTACTTTAGGTTGGTTGGTTGTGAAAGGCCCTAACTAGGCAAAATTAAAGCTGAGATCTGAATAAAAAGAAAAGTCTAGCCTGATGTTGGTGGCTCACTGCTGTAATCCTAGCTATTCAGGAGGATCTCGGTTCAAAGCCAGCCCAGGCAAATAGTTTGAAAGTCCCTATCTCAAAAATACCCAACACAAAACAGGGCTGGCAGAGTGGCTCAAGTGGTAGAGCACCTGCCTAGAGAGTATGAAGCCCTGAGTTCAAACAAACCCCAGTACCACAAAAAAAAAGTTAACCATGCAAAGATGAGAGAAAGCAGTCCAAGCAAGGAAACCACTGGTAGAAGAAATACACACAGCATATTAGAAGACTGGGGCTGGTCTTGGTGGCACACTCTAGTGATGAGTGATGCAAAGAGGATAAGACAGAAGGATTACAAGTTTGAGGCCATCCTGAGTGGTAAGAGCACCTGCCTAGTAAGCATGAAGCTCTGAGTTCAAACTCCAGTGCTACCAAAAGAAAAAAAAAGACTAGGAAAAGGCCAGTATGACTGGAGCATACTGGAGTGACATTAGGTTAAACAGACAGATGGGGATCAAAATCCCACGGGGCCATGTCCTTTAGGTTAATCAGACTAATGAAGAGCCGTTGGAAGATTTTCCACAGGGTCATGACATGTTGTGCTATACATTTTCAGATCACTTTGGCTATAGAATGAATTTACAGCAGAGCAAGATTGAAAGTAAAAAGACAAGGAGAAAAGGAAGTTACTATTTTTTTAATAAATATTTTTTCCTCTCACACCCCCTAACACACTTGTGAACATAGGAGAGTGATAGTATTGTAGATAAGCATAGGGGGTTGAAGTAAGAGACTTATTCTTACTTCCCTGCACATTTGCCAGTCTTATCATTTTCTACTGAGGCCTCAACCTACATTATATTGAGAGTTGGTCTCACTTCTGAATCATACCTGAAAATTTGGCCTTCCCACAGGTTCAGGAGAAAAGCTGATCCTTTCAGATCTGCTTGAACCTGCTAAAACTTCATCCTCATTGGCTGCTGTGAAAAAGCAACTGAATAGAGTCAAATCAAAGAAGACTTTGGAATTACCCCTTAACAAAAAAGAGGTTGAACGGGTAAGTTTTAGAGAAAGTAGTGTGAAAAATAGGGTAATAAAAGAAACACCCTGAAGGCTGAGGTGGGAAGATCATGAGTTTGAGGCCAGCCCAAGCTACATAGCAAGACCTTGTCTCAAAAAGGAAGGGAGTAGGGGGGTGGATGCTGAAAAATGAGAGGAGGAAGAATCATGATTTCCTCACTATAAACAAAAATAATCTAAGAACAGTTGCAGTCCTGAGAAGTAAGCAAAAGTTAATCCTTAGGGTCCTAATTCTTTCTTGGGCTAAGAAACATTGCCTAATTTCTTGTTAATCCTTTGAGTTTAATGTGTTAATCTGTGACTCTTTCCTTTTATGTATCTTGCCTGCAAGATCCACAGAGAAGTAGCATTCAGTAAAACCTCACAAACCCTCTCCAAATGGGATCCTATTGTTCTAAAGAACCGGCAAGCAGAGCAGTTGGTTTTTCCAATGGAGAAGGAGCCATCAGCCTTTGCTCCCATGGAGCATGTGTTTGGTGGCTGGAAGGTAAGTACAACAAAATGAAACTGAACTTTGAAAGGTGAGATTGTGCAACTCAGAGATTTCACAACCTTCAGCTGACTTGAATGAACAGTTTAAGCCTAAATGCGAGCTGAATTCATTTTAGTTTAGTGGTCACAAAGGTAGAAAGGAGGTAACATATCTTCCCTGGCATCATGTACTAGCCAATCACACAGTAGCTCTATAGTCAGTTTGCTTTTGCTTGTAGTATGTAGCACTTGAATGTTTCTAAGTTTTAGTGTTAAAATATCTGACTGCCATGATAAGAAGAAACATACTGTGTTTTCTTATCTGCTAGGTTTTTTGTTGTGGTGGTGCTGGGAATGGAGCCCAGGGCCTTTGACATGCTAAATAAGCATTGTACCAATACCCCCTTTCTCCCAAAGTTCTTAAAAAAACACTTAAAGTCACATTTTGATTCTAGGAAAATCAGGGACTTAGTAGCATTGATTCTACCTTAGTGAAAGTATATAAGCAAGAGAACACAAAGTTTGTTTATAAAAGAATACCATATTAAAATATAACGTGTTGATGGTTATGACTGGAACTTTAGCAAGTAACTCATCATGACTGAGTTAGGTGTGGGTTTCCCAAACACTGACCTCTGACAAAGTTGATTGGGGTTGGGGTGGAATGGTAGTTACGCTCTTGGCAAAATTAAAAGTTGGTGATCCTCTGTTGGTCCCTAAACTCTCCATAGTTAGTCTATGAACAACTGCTTGAGAGCAATTAGCCTACTTTTCCAGTACAGCATTAGTAATGAAGTCTATACTGGGGTGGTTTGTCTTAAAGAGAAATAGTTAAACAGTACCCAAACCATGAATAGAGGCCTCATTATGCTTTTCTTTGGTGCTTTCTAAAAATCCAAGAATGCTATTGTCTTTTATGTATGGGATGTTGAGCTAATTAAAGCTAATCAAAGTTAACATTGCTTACCACAATAGCTAGAAATATTCAATAGAAATAAGCAAATAGTCACTTATTAAGGGTATAAGATCTGTTTTCTGATGTTGTTTTTGAAGTCACTACAATTCTCTTTCTAGGATGCTTCCTTTTCCACATGAAAAAGAGATCAGGTATAAAGTGTGGCTGCAGGATGAAGGGAGACTTTAAAAAAAAATATTCAGAGGTAATATAATTTGCAGGGTTCAAAAATAAAAAGTTATAGAAGATATATAGTAACAAGTTTGACACCACCCCCATCTGCTCATTTTTACCCACATACCCACCCAGAAGTAATAGTTTTATAAGTTTTTTTATTGTTGTTAACTTAGCGTTTCATTTATATATTCATGTTACTTCCTTTTTAATCGGGAAAGTAGTAATATGTTATTACACACTGTTCTGCACCTTGCTTTTTCCAAATGGCAGTGGAATCTTGCAAATAGCAGGAAAGTGACAAGTTGGTTATTAAAGATGAGATGGTGGTGAAGGAGGTTACATTTAGAGTGACAACTCTTTGAGATGGGGTGGTGCCCAGATGGTATTACTTTTGAGTATACTGTGCCATTTATACATTCATTTGAAGATTTATTTTTGAGAAATTAGGCCAGTATGGCACAGAAATAAAGAAATGCCTAGTTCGGTAGGGGGAGTGTATTTTGGCTAGCAACTCCCAGTTCTCTCCTTAGCACTTAAGAGTGCAAAGTACCAAGGACTAGTATACACTAGGATTTCTGGAGATTGAGAATCAAAAAAGTCTGTGGTATAGTTTTGGTCCAGCTTCCTAAAATTGCATTTAGCTCTAACTGAGAAGAGTTGAATGGGATAAGGCATGAGAAAGCATTTGTAAACTGCAAAGTGCTAGAAATAATGTAAAGTAACATCTTCCACCCCTTTCTCCTTCCCCTTCATTACCAGTTGACACTGACATTTCCCAAAGCATTCTTTTCCAAACCTTAGTTTCTCAATATGCACTCAAAGCAGGAGTTCTGTGATTAGAAAATGCTATACACTGGCTTTTTTTTTTTTTTTTTGGCCTCAAACTTGTCCTCCTACTTCAACCTCTCAGAGTCCTGGGATTATGGTACGCATCACCATGCCCAGCTCATACACTAGCATTTTAAAAACTACATAGCATTTGTTGCCCTCAATGCAGAGAGACTAATGCAGATACGTTAAAGTGACAGAGGCCAATAGGAGAAGGGGACCAGGAACTAGACAAAAGGTTAGTTCAAGAAGAATTAATTTAGAAGGTAACACACATGTACAGGAAAGCAATGCAAGTCAACTCCCTGTATAGCTATCCTTTTCTCAACTAGTAAAAACCCTTGATCCTTCCTATTATTGCTTATACTCGCTCTTCAACAAAATTAGAGATAAGGGCAAAATATTTTCTGCCTGGTAGTGAGGTGGGAAGGGGGGAGAAATAACCCAAACATTGTATGCACATATGAATAAAAGAATAAATAAATAAATAAAGGCTATGAACAGATAATAAATACACCTAATCTGACCAAGGGTACAAAGTGATTTTTATTAAAAGTTGAACCACACTGGCTAAGTGGCTCAAGTGGTCTAGCAAGCCCCAGTACTGCCAAAATAAAAAGCAGAAAAAGAAAAAAGTTGAGGTAGGCATGGTGGTGCATACCTGTAATCCTATAACTTAGGAGGCTGAGGCCTGTCCAGGCTATATATCAAGACCCTGTCTCAAGAAAAAGAAAAAGTTGAACACTAAGCTTTTATAAAATGAAGTAACTCTGTTGTTATTTAATGAAGAATGTGCTTTGGGAAGAGCTGGTCTCCGCTGCTGCTTCTGCTAAAACTTCTCTCAAAGGGCAAACTGCCACATCAAAACCCTCTTAATCATCAACCTACTTAAAACACCACTTGCAGAGTGGTGGAGTGGCTCAAGCGGTAGAGTGCCTGCCTGGCAAACATGAGACCCTGAGTTCAAACCCCAGTACCGCCAAAAAAAAAAAAAAACACCATTGTCATATCACATTTATCTTAAAAATTCTCCTCCCTTGGCTTCTATAAAGTACTTCGGTACTTTATTCCTCTGATTTTTCATGGGCCTTAAACTTTGCACAATCCAAACTGAGTTTCACATTTCCTTTCCCCCAGAATCCCAAAGCTTTACCACCACCTTCATTCTGTAACTCAGTTAATATCTTAACTCTACTTCTGGTTACTTAGGTTGAAGACCTCAGTCATCTGATTCATACTTGTTCCCTTGCTGCCTCTTCTGCACACCATATAGTGGCCCAGTCTTGCAAATTCTGTTATGGCTCCCAGACCCCTGTTTTGTTTTTATTTTCATTTTCATTTTCACTGCCCATGTTTTTGCTTATGCTCATCTCTGTTTGGATTTTTTTTCCCCTCCTGAAAGAATTGTACTTAAGCCTTAAAGCCTGATTCAAAAAGTCATTTACTTCCCCCATCTAACCTACCCACCTACTAATCTCTGTGCTTACCCCTGTATGATAGCATTTATTTTTTTTTCTTTTATTATAGCATTTAACCCGTTAATGGTATGTTGTTAGTAGTATGTGTGTGTCTTCACTCTGAAAGGCTGTGAGCTCTATGAGTACAGGAACTATGTTAATTAATTGTGTTCCTAGCACCCCACACAAGTACTTGGAATGTGGCAGCAATCAATAAATGTTGGTAAATTGAATTGAATTGAAAGGCAATCACAACATTGTAATATAAATCACTTTGTGGCCTGTGATTGATCACTACTGCAAATACTGAAAATGGAAGGACACGTACCTTTACTATTCAGTAGAATAGGTTTACAGTTAAATCAATAGCACTGTGTAACATGTGATGATGTGTATTGATGCATTTGTCCAGATATTTCTAAGTTTAATTCTGATCATGATGTATGACTTTTGGATGAAAACACACACACACACACACAATATGTGTGTGAAGTTTAAAACTGGCTCTGTTGCCTAGGGCTGTCTTTGTGCCTTGTCAGGATGGATGATGGCATGGTTGGCCTGATTATTTTAACCATCCTTATAATGTCAGTCAAGCAGCAAATGGGGCTTTTTGTTGACATGTGAAGTAACTGGTCTACAGTTCATTCATTTCATACAGATAGATACCACCTCAAAGGCAAAATTAAGTGGAAACAGAGGAATTAGAGCCAAAGTTAAAAAATAAGTAGTTAAAATTTGAACTGTCAGGAAGCAGGAGAATTACATGAAAATCATATTTTTTAAGGTAATGTCCTTTTGTGTTCAGCAAATTAAAACACACACCCTGCCATAAAGTAAATTGCTGGGTAGAATGTACCTAAGAATGCCATGTTTTTCTTGTTTCCTTTCATCAGTAATTAATGATGCCAAGAACACATGCATACATGATTTGTAGCAGTTGGATATGTTTTTTAAAAGTTGGGAGCTGAGAATGATGGCATGTCTGTAATCCTCAGAAGGATTTTGAGTTCAAGGCCAGCCTGGGTTACATAGCAAGACCCAGTCACAAAAAAAAATAGATTTTTAAAAAGTTGGAGTTTCCCTCTGAGCCATTATGCAGGTCTGTTTCACCATCACTGGCAAATAAGGCTTAAGATCTAACCTCCCTTTCCCTCTAGAAATATTCTTTAAAGGAGACTTGTGATAGGAATCTGAGATTCCTAACTATAAAAGGTAAAAGATGTATGCTTCAAATACATATAACGTTAAAGGGAGTATTTTGGTTTTGACTTTCAAAACTGTGACAATCTGGTAACTGCTGTTTCTCTGCCTTGCCAGCCTTTACCTCAAGTGCATCCTCATTAGACTCTTAAGAGAATGGAATTTTATTTTATATATACTGATAACCTGAATTCAGAATGATTTCCTCCTCAGGATATTTAAGAATAGCCTGGGTTCCCTTGCTGAAGTTGTCTTAAATCAGAATTTTTAAAACTCAGAATAAAATAAGGTTTTGCCTATACCACTGACCAGCCAAACCAGAACCTCTTTCTTTTGCTGAAATAGCCCACCCTGTCCAGTTAGTGATTCCAATTGTAGTGCCATAAATTAAATAATCACAGTTATGTAATGCAAGATAGCTATAAGGAACATGACTTAAGATTTAAAATGTTTTGTTATCTCCTTAAGGCAACAACCCTCCTGGAACAAGAAGTTTTTAAACTCCTCCACAAGAATAAGCAGCCACTGACAGACCCTTTACTGACTCCTGTGGAAAAAGCTTCCTTCAAAGCCATGAGCCTGGAAGAGGTAAGTTTCATAGGCCATTTGACATAATACCCAGGCATGCTATGCTTCTCCCCACACTTGACCTCAAGTCCAGGAGTCACTGTAAATGTCATTCATTGTAGGCTAAGATACGCCGAGCAGAGCTTCAGAGGGCCCGAGCTCTGCAGTCCTACTATGAGGCCAAGGCTCGAAGACAGAAGAAAATCAAAAGTAAAAAGTAAGGAGGCCTTGGGTCCCATGGAAGAAAATGATATGACTGATCGTAAATTCTTTGGAGAAAAAGAGGTCCCCAAGTGTGAATGATCAGTCTATTTTTCCCAAACCTACCTCACACGGTTTTGCCTGCTTTAGTAATGCCCTCCCCTCTAGCTTTAGCTTTCATGCTTGACTTTGCCAAAGTCAGTTACTTTCTCTCCCTGCAAGGTATCATGGAGTTCTGCAGAATGAGCTCTAAATTCCTCAGCTGTTGAGGCCAATAGGGCTTCTTTCCTTCCTTGTTACCTCTTTGGAACTTGTTCTGTAGACTCAGAGGGGACTACAGAAGTCTGCCCTGGGGGCTGCAGCATCTGAGAGTCCTGGCAGTCTTCTCAGGTCCCATTCCAGCCCCTGCATAAGGAAACCCCTTGCATAACATTGACCCTTTTGTATGTGGCATCAGTACTTCAGCTGAATCTCTAAGCTTTTCCCTCTTCTCCCTGTTACTCTATAGATATCACAAAATTGTAAAGAAAGGAAAGGCCAAGAAAGCCCTAAAAGAGTTTGAGCAGCTAAGGAAGGTCAATCCAAGTGCTGCATTAGAAGAACTGGAAAAAATTGAAAAGGCCAGAATGATGGTGAGGTTGCCTCTTGTTTCCCACCCTTTAAACCAGCTTTCCCTGGAAGGCACTGAAGAGCTCATACTGTCCTTCCTTTCTAGGAGCGAATGAGCCTTAAACACCAGAACAGTGGGAAATGGGCCAAGTCAAAGGCAATTATGGCCAAATACGACCTGGAGGTAAGAGACAATCAGGGTAAGAAAAGAGATGGAATTAGAGGAAAGAGAGGAAAATCAGTCCATAAAGATGCTAGCAGAAGCAGAGTTGGGGAAGAGCCATAAGGATGAATGAAAAACCAGAATTCTAAAAAGGCATCAGAAAAATCTCTAAGACAGAGAGGAAAATGACCAGAAACAAGGTGGAAAAGGGAGATGAAAGGGAAACAGCATTGAAGGCAAGTCCAGTGAAGGAGAGAAGAGTTTTTTTAAATTGTATATCACATATTGATTCCTTGAGGACAAAGAATTGGTCTTCCTATTTATTCCATAGCTACTAACACAGTGATATATGTGGAATCTAAACAGTAGATACCAGTAAGAAATACTCACATATTCATAGTACTCACATATCCTGGAGTATTAAATGGAAAGGAGGCAGCTTTAAGAATGGACCAGGAACGGTGTTATTGTGGTCACTAATGACAATCCTCTCGTGCTGTGACTTCTTCCTCCAGGCTCGCCAAGCTATGCAAGAACAGTTGGCTAAGAACAAAGAACTGACACAGAAACTCCAGGTAGTTTCAGAGAGTGAGGAAGAGGAAGGAGGCACAGAAGAGGAAGAATCCCTTGTCCCCGATGTAGTGAATGAAGTACAGATGAATGGGGATGTACCAAATCCCTGGATGTTCAGGAGGTGCAATGGTGATGCAAAGGAGAGTGAAATCCAGATGGACCCTGAACAGCTGCCTGAGCCTGTGGCCCATGAGTTTTCTGAAAGTGAGGAAGATGAAAGACCAGAGGCAGAGGAAGAAATTTTATTGAAAGAATTTGAGGAAAGGCGATCCCTCAGAAAAAGATCTGAGCTCAACCACAATGCTGACCCAATAGGCAGCCAAGAAACAAAAGGTGAGCTGTGATGAAATGGAAGGAACACTTCATATTGCTAGGAATGGACTGAGAGAAAAAAATGAGTGTCCACCCACACATGCTGCATAGTGATTAGGCTCTGGGGACTTTCAAGAGTGAGTGCTCTGGGTCCCTGAAGTGAAATTAGATTCATAATAACCATTTTTCTTCAAAGGCATTTAATAAGCATTCATCTGCATGGCTGTGCGATGTGCTCTGACAAATTTTCTGGCTTCAGAAAGATACAACCGAATTATCCTTTAGCATTCCTGGTACCTACAAACAGGTACTTCTGGTAGGATGGTAAGTCAGAAAATCCATTCACATTTATAGATACATATAGATAGATTCCAGAGATTTTGAAACTTCTTCAGATGGCTAGAGTTTTTGTCTTGTTGGTAACATAGTGGCATTTAACACTTCATGGTGCTGGTTTGTATGTGTCTGTATTGAGGTGAGACTCTACTAGAATGAAAGACTCCACAGGCTACACTACATGGTAAATTAGAATTCTGACCCCATGTTCAGACTCTGTATTTGTTATATTTTCTACCCATTATCTTGAAGAGATTATTGATTTATTGTGCTGAGGTTCAAACCCAGGACCTTACACATGCTAGGGAAAGTGAGCAATGTTAATACCACTGACTCTGGTCATAGTGCCCCCATTTCAGGGATAAACCAGACATTGTAAAGCCTGCT